TGCTTATCCCACAGAACGTACTAAAAACAACAAATCCTGAAAATTTTAGCTCAATTGAATAAATCCTTCTCAAGATATCTTTTCTAGAAGGCGAAAATAGCTCGTTTTGAGAAAACGAGCTTTAAACTTACAGTAACAGTACTTGTCAAAATAAAACTTCAATACCTTAAGATTCGAGTTCCGTAAAAAACAAAACTTCGAATTTCTTTCAGAATTTTAGTCCCGCCTTAAGTTCGCCGGTCATTTGTACACCTGAGTGGAGAGAGGCGCTGTGAGAGTAAAGAGACTTGCCTTGGAACACAAACACAATGTTCCCAGCCAGGGCTCGAACCCGGACCTCTCGATCCAGAGACGAACGCACTAACCACGAAGCCACCATGTAACAATCGTATTTAAAATCCATCAAATATTTTTGTTCACACGCGATTAGTCTAAACGAGTCATGTGACCGAATATTCCCCAGCTTAAAACTGGAGAATATCCGAGTGATATTCCTGAATTTTTTAAAAAGCGCGTGCTGCGCGTGCTGCTGATAATAAACACAATAGCCTCAATTTGGCGTGAAAATATGCTCGGATATTTTGTCCTTGGACATTATCTGTTCGCTTTGAGGAACAGATAATGCCGGCGAACAAATATCCGTGCATAGTTTCGCGTCAAATTGCTTATATAGCACCTATAGAAACAAATATAGCACATACAAAAAAAGAAATTCAATAAGAACGATTTCTGTGTTGTTTTTTTCCGTGGCTTTTGGAACCGTTTCAAAGCGATTCCAGCGAGTTTCAGTTTCTCTGTTTTCCTCTCTGTGTGAATAATATGTTGAGAACTTGGGATAGCGGTCATTGCGAAATCATAAGACTTTGCAAGGGAATATCCCTGGGGATGGGTACTCTATAAACCTTTGGGAAGGGGTATAGGGCTGGGACTTTGAAACCCTCACCCTATATTAGACCAGGAGTATTAGACCATGATCAACTTGACTTAACAAACCCATTCTAGACTAGTCACCAAACCCCCCAACTCTATCCCAGACCAGCTATTTTCAACACAGAAACTTTATCACTATCATAGTCCAATATACGCTAACTAAACCAATATCATTACAAAGTCACTTCCGAGTTTCAGTTTCAAGTTTTAGAACTTCGGGTAAAGAACCCTGTTCTAGACCAAAACTGTCTGATTTCTATACCGCCATCATCCAAGACTAAACTGTTTGAAAACCATACCCTTCACGAAGCGCATACCAACATAGCTTACCTGTATAGGAGTATCCCCACGAGGCCGGGAATATTTACGATTGGTTTTACGAGATCCAAATACTACAAAGTTCTTCATAAAACTTCTTATCTTACGTCTGCAGTGTATTGCTTGTTTTCTGTTCGCTTTTTCTGCTGATTTGAATCGGTATTAGGGAGTTGCCTCTTCTTAGGTGTCAGTACTGGCCTAATCTAGGAAAACTTGGAAACCTAGGAAGCGACCAACTCACTAAGATCGCTTCAAATCAGCTGCAAAAGCAAACAGAAAACACGCGATACACTGCGGAAGTAAGATGAAGTACTTTTGTGAAGAGCTCTCCAGTTTTTGTATCTCCTAATATATATTCTACGCAAGATCAGCAGCATCAGCACGATGCTCGCGCTTACAGCTTGAGCTAGGACCGCTTGTGGTTTCAGTGGTAACAATAACCATGCATTTTGCATTGATAATTAGTTTACAGCTTGAAAAAAAGCTCATTGCTTTATCGACAATAAATGATTGGTCAGACCAGTGAGCGCAGAGGTTTAATCAAGTCAGTCCTCTCTACCAACTATGACCAAGTGAACAAATCCTATGGAGGACACGTGGACCACGTGGTCTCTAATAATAAATTTGATTTAAATTTGAATAAATAATATATTTCTTTTGTCGCAACCCAGTGAGGCGTGGAGTGCATAGATCGTAACAGTATATGATTTGTTTCAGCAACATAGAGTGTCATACGGGTGTCATAGCATACCGCGTCGGCTTAACTCTGCAGCAAGTGAATATCGCGGATATCGACTTTGTCACTGAGGTTTAACCAGCAATCAGAGCAGCAGTGAAGCTATCATGGAAAGTCGAAGCCTTGTGTGTCTGGTTTTTGGTTAGTAAATAACGCTGAATTGTTCTTGCAAGTTGGATTGTACCGATACATTAAAGTGTGTTTGCTTTGCGCTCTTTCTCAATAGTGATTCTGCCGTGCTCTTTCCTGGTGAACTGTAAAGTGCTGGAACCTGTGAGGACCCGCAGGGTAGGTCGAGTGAGTGTAGCATGATATAATTAACTACCTTAGAATGATTTCCCGACGTAACCTTTAACTTCCTCCGAAGCAGTCGGCGAAAATGCTATCAGTAGCTTGTAAGATAGCAGCCCAGCAGCCAGCCCCACAAGCAGGGATCAGCTTAACTCTTTATTACTTTACTAGCTGATTCTCTCAGTTTCCTGGTTAACGCTGCCAGCATTTGTAATTATCCTATTAGATGCGAGCGTCATCTCACTCGGGAATTGGGGAAGAATTACTGAGAAGCTCACAACTGAAACGGGACTAACTGGCGGTGTGAATCGATTTTCGCTTCATCTCTCGTTGGACAAAGAAATCCTGCAGACATTGTTTACAACTATTTAATGTTTATACAGTAGAGTCTGAACACCTAAAATCGATTATTTCTGCTGCAATTGGGGTTTCCACAATAAGAGTATTCAACCAAGTTGGTATACAGTACCACTTTTCTATAGCTTGGGGTGATATTGCAAATGTACTTCTCTTAGAAATGCAAAAGACGTCAGTTTCTATGACTTCGCTCACATAATATTTTCGACTCGGTTGTGGGAATTCCAAGGTTTATCCATTTTTTCATGCTTCGTACAAGCCACCATTCACTCATTGACCTTCAATCACCAGAACAGTTTGTCTAGAATGAAAGGAATTCACAATTTAATGTTACTTGGCTCGGTCAAGTTTTAAAAGTCCTCCTCCGGTTTAATTAACTAACCGTTCGACTCGGATTTCGCATTACCACAGCTTAAAAATAACCCGCCACTTGAGATATATTCAACCTAGGCATAGCTAACAAAACGAATATGAGGAAAATATTGAAACAAACGTGAACTTGGGAGAGAATTTAGCTGCATGCAAGGAGAGAATCAACTGTTTCCTTTACACTGCGCGTCACTTATCGAGTGTTATTTTCGTTAGTGCGCAATGAGCAGCTCATATTTCCACTCTCATATTAGTTATTTCCGGCGTTTCATCTTCAGCTACAGGTCGACCATGTATATCACAAGGTAGAATTACTGATAAGCTTCGCATTTTAGACTCAATATCTTCTTACGCCTTTGTGACAGAAAAACAACTGACTGTTTTTCATTCACAGCTGTGTTTTAAAAAAGAACAAACAACTCCACTGTCAGATTGTTCTTTAACACAAACAGTAGTAAAGTTCAAGTTTGACTTCAGCCAATACCAAACCAAAGGACAGTAAGCAAGGCAACAGAGCAGTTACACAAGCATTTGATCCGAATTTGAGCAGCTAAAGTGACAAAACCATGCATTGTTTTTACGCTTAGGGGTGATATTGACAGTCTGCTCTATGCGATCTGAAAAGAAGACGCAAGAGCACAAGCTGATTTATTATAACTGCGCTTGAATTGAGTGAATAATTGTCGTCTCGGTTGTGGGAATTCCAAGATTAATCATTTGTATGACGTCGCCTCTCACTAACTCACTCATCAAAACGGGTTTTTGGTTTTACAATGAGAGCAATGTTAACCGAAATAACATATTCGCTACTTTTCGGCCATAACTTCTTTTGAACTTCTTTTTACCCACCCATCCCCAAAGAACCTTTATGATTGCCCGGAATTTTAGATGCACCTCAGTCTATAAACAGCAACATCAACTAAATGAGAACTTTAGCTTGAAATTGGTAGACAATAAATTATATCGAGTCGAAATCTAGGTAAAGACAAAAGGGAGTTGACTAAAAAAAAATTGCGTGGGTTTCGTTTGAGACCGAATAACTGAACATTTAGTGCGATATTGAAGAAAACACTTAACTCCGAGACAAGTCGTTCAGTAGTACTGACCTGGTCTGCTACTGGAAACCCGGGACTGATATTGATGATTCCTGTTAGATCTGGACAGGAATAAAGTTTAGAATCGAGAATTCTGGCATATTTGCTCGTGATAAATGAACCCCCTTTGACGAAACGTGACCTGATGCTGGAATTGACAGTCTCGCATTCAGAACTGAAGAGATTACCCCTTGAATATACCTGTGTGACGAGAACAGCTGCGTAGGAAGATGTGAGAACTGAAGGAGATTGACTTACTTTGTTGATATCCCCTTTTAGAAAGGAATGAATATTTTACAGATTCTACGGCGATAAAGAAACTTAACCATTATCTCCCTTGTCAAGAGAGACACTTGAATATTTCAAAATATTTTTTCCATTTGCACAATCGCTAATTTTACATTTCGAAAACTACCCCCGATACAAACTATAATTGTGATGAGCTCAAGATGAACACATAGTACTGGAAGAAATGTTTCCACCGTCTGCATTGTTGTTGCGGTTTCCTTGAGGTGGAACACGCTCGATGTTTCCATTAACGACCAATATGTTAGATCTGATTTACTCAAAATAAACTGGAATCTTTAAATAACAGTCTGCGTTGACAAAACAACAATATTTTTTGAATTCTACTGGGTCATGCTGTGCCAATCCCTCTCACCAGAGTCCCAGTCACTAGTTACTAGTTTCCCTCCCCCCCCCTCCCCCGCTTATCTTGACTGAAGCGAGGTTGCTTCTAGCGCTTTACATGCCTATTAGTTAGTGTTTTCTTTTTAAATTTTAGCGCAGACCTCTGGACTTAATTTCAAGGCTGTCTTATCCTTCACTGATATTCTCCACAGCTCCTCGATATGGAAACACAGTGAAAGCGTGTTGTACACTGCGCTACACCGTAGCGTTAGCCATCCTTAATCATCATGCAATTTTGACTTCGTTTCGTTTTCAGGCTGCCCCGTCCTTGCCTAAGGTGAACACAACTGAGCGCTTAAAGGAGCTAAGACAGAAGATGCAACAAGAAGGCGTTCAGGCCTACATCATTCCCTCTGTTGACCAACACATGGTAAACGATTTTAGAAGTTGCTACCAGGCTGTGTCTTTACTTGTTATTGATATGGTTATGAAGTGCTGGCAGAAGTTTTTAAAACTTGCGATATCATTGTAATTGTGGAGAAATGAGTCGTCAGTCTTTTCAAATAGGGTAGTTCCCTCAATTCTTCAGTTATTGTGGTGTCAAGTCTCATCGCCGCCCCGGCAGAGCATGTCTCCAGGGAACGGCCTAAACTGTTTCTTGGTTAAGTTAAATCCTCCTCGGGTTTAACATTTTGATTGTCTTTTTCCACAAACCTCTTAGACGTTGGTCGAACTTCTGGCATTCCAAATATAATGGTTTCTTTCGAAACGCAGCGAACTTCCTCCATTAGCTAGAAGTATATTATTTTAAACACCTGAGATTATTAAGTCGCTTTCTTGCCCAACGAAGGCACAATTATTAGGCCAAAAAATGCTTAGAGGCTTTTGATATTTTTACTGATTAAGGCCGAAATATTTTAAGCTTTGTACATGTAGTGACTTCAGACAACGTTGAAAATAGTGGTGTTTCTCTTCGTGGTCCGTTGCGTGAACATTTCAGGTCTAACTAGCATTTGTTCAATTGCAAGTCTGAATCGCTTCGTGTTATGTCGAAACATGACGTGTTAGACCGCCTGCGATCATACAAAGGCCCTGCAATTACAGACTTCGTATTTGCCTGCGCTATTGAGAAATGAATGATACTTAATTATAAACTTCTCTCTCTTATAAATACAGAGCGGATATGTTGCCCCACACTTTCAACGACGCCAATACATATCTGGTTTTACCGGCTCAAGTGGTAAGGTTTGGTGCTTTTTTGCCTCTTGGCATTCCTTCTTTGTTCGTCTTCATTTCGCCCCTGTTTGTTAGCTTAATTTTGTTGATTTAACCCATTGACACCTAGATCTGACTTTTGGCAAACACGCATTTTTTGGATATTTTGGACATTTTTAGCGTGGATATCAGCTAAATTAGCTGCAATCTACCCATAAAGGTATTTGCAATATGAGAGCTTGCCTTTCTTTCCGCTAGCATCGCGTTTTATGACATTTTTTCTCGGGTATGGGCACAAATCACAAATTTGCGATCTACGTCTGACCTACATCTTGAGGCTTTTCGGGATTTTTTTGACTTTCCTTTTTTTTTCTTTTTTTATCTTTTTGCTGCAGTTGTGACCTTCTACTGGGCTTGCTTCCAGTTCAAAAATTTCCCAAGAAAGCCTCATCGAGACGAAAAATTCTTACCACGGAGTAGCCTAGTGTGGTTGAGCTTGAGGGACATTTTCCTCCTAGTTTTTCCCTCCAATTTCTAAGCATGTTCGTGCATATTTCAGGCTCAATTGACTCAATCACTCTGAGCTGGATATCATTGGAAAGATCTTTTCCTCCTACAGAACTTGGATATAAGTGATGGCAATTTCGGCTAAAGTTGATGACGTCAGAAGTGGACCAAAGTCAATGGGTTAACTTACACCAGTACCTTAAAATGCATATGCAGCTCTTTGACTTACATTTGTGTGCAGGTCTTCTAACTAGCCCATCAGATGCGATGAACTGATGCGATGTACTTTCTTATTTAATCCACATCTCTGTTGGTTATTTAGGTGATGCAGTCGTTACATTGACGAAGGCTGCAATGTGGACTGATGGTCGCTACTTCCTTCAAGCCACCATGCAAATGGATGATAACTGGACGTTGATGAAACAGGGTAACTAGTTCATAAACTACACAAACTGTAATAGCTTCATTGCATACCACCTTGCCGATACACCGTCATGTATTGACCCATGATGTATGATTTGAGCGGTTTTCAGTTGAGTGTCCACGAAAGTAATCAGGCAATTACTTTGGTTTTGATTTTGGCTTTTACTACAGTTTGAGATTTATTGAGTAGTCTAATTGGTAGATTGTTGCTTTGGTTTTAGTTTTACGACACTCGATTGAAAACCGCTCTAATTGCCTTAATTAGAACCAACATCTCACAGCTAGCCCTGTAGTAATACGAGGCGGTGAAGTCAAAAAGAAGATGCTTTGCTCGCGTGGACAATCCAAGCAGTTTTACACGCATTTTTATCCTCCACGAAAACATCCACTTAACGCGAGTAGTAACGTTATCCGCTTGAGAACGAAGTACCATCTCTAAAAAGAGCCTGAGAAAGATTAACTTGGGAATAAGACCTATATGGGGATTAGCTCTCTCACATTCATCCTGTCTTAATAATACCAATTTGATGTGCGAATAAATGTCATATTTTGCTGTCTTAGGTCTGGCAGGTACCCCAACACAAGCCGAATGGTTGTCACAGGTAATGCACTTGATGACTATCGGGAGATAACGTACACTAGACCCATACCTGAGAAAACTTGTTCGGGTTGTTTTGTTACGTAAAAAGGGTACTCATACTTTGAATCATATCTTGATTAAGAACGGACGGACATGCGCGTTTTGCGTTATGTAAGGACACGGAAAGATCGGATCGTATACGTTTACCACGGTACAGCACATGGAGAAACATTTCATCACCAAGTTATTGAAGTTACTCGGAAAACCGAGAATTCTGAGTCTAACCCATGGTTATTCGGTCAAACGCTCAACCTCTGTGCGAAAGGATGGTCAAGGGAGTTATGCAATGACGTAAAGCAGGTTCAATGTGACCAACTTCGGCCGTACTGTTAGTCAGTTAATCTATGTGTGAGAATGTCTGGTAGTGCTATGGCGAGCTTGAATGATGTTTGCGAAACTTTTCTGGCCTGCCTAGACACAGAATTGCCTTGTCGGAATATAATGCAAGCCCAGTTTGCAATAAAAAAATTATATGATCTCTGTAAAACAGGTGGAAGTGTGTATAACGGATGTTTTGATGATTGCGCTTGGTGTTTATTATAACCAAGCACTGCAAGTAACGAACATCGGACATACAGAGGCGATCAACAGGGAACCGAACGAGTTCGTGAAATTAAAATGGGCTTCTTTTAAAAGATTGTTATCGAACTTGTTTTAAACAATGAAACAATATTCCTGATGTTACTGAATAAGCAGTAACCTTTGTTTAGGAACTTTCCAGCGATGAAAAAGTTGGAGTTGATGCAAACCTCATTTCCATTGGTACGTATTAATTCAACACGTAGCGAATGAACAAAGTTTTCCCAGGCTAGGCGTTCAGTTAGTTGGGACGTTGCGCGAAGAAAAGCGGCGGAACGAAATAAGGGAGAGAGAGAGAGAGGCTTAGTGTTGCGCTTCCCCCATTTTGTCGAGCGCATTTTTTTATACTGCGCCCCAAACTAACCGAACGCCTGGGAGAGGTTAGACGAAAACAGATGTAAGCGTTTGTGCTATGCTTAACTTGAGCTATTGTTTCGATCCCTGTTGGAAAATTTTCTAGTTATACAGAGCAGGGTAAGTAATTGGAACGTAACATATGTACATATGCAAAAGCGGGAAATCATGTAATAAATTGAATATGGAAGAGAAAAGGAAGTTAAGAACATTGCAATGGAACTTTCGGCTTCATATTTTCAGAAGATTTTGTGCACATTTGGTTTTTTAAGGTAAATTTACATATTTTATCAGAAGCCTGATTTTATTGTTTTAATTCTTGCAGGTAATTACGAGGACATGACCAAGGTGTGAAGATTTATATTTCTATTCTCAGAGTTTTCACAGCATGTGTGGAAAATTCCTTTAAAAAGAATTAAACCTCGAATTGCAAAATTTTCTTCAACTGAAAGAAGACCGGATTTGCTTTCAATTGAAGACACTAAAGAAATAATGACAAACCAGACAAAACAAAGACGAGTAGATCTGGGGAGGAGTACGGCGGATTACAGAACAGGACAAAAGAACTTCTACATATGTCACTTTGCAACTATCCTTGTACCCTTAGTCATACAGAGCTTATCGTCAACTTTGTTATATCTTTTTACTCGGCCCGCTATTAAACCAGCGTCAAACCGCTAAATTGCAATTCACTATTAATGCATATAGAATCACGATCCACAGGGGCGGATCCAGGAATTTCTGAAAGGGGGGGAAGGGTGGGGGGCGGGGGGGGGGGCGGTGTACACCTTCACAACTTTTTATTTCATCGGCGTGGATGGCCAGCGTCGCAGTCGTGAGGTTCGAGGGGGGTCCGGGGTCATCCCTTTACGTTGAATATTTCCGATTTTACCCTGTAAAACGCCATTTTCAGCGTTCCGGACACTTGATACTTGATACTTGCATGATATAAAATCTGGTGTTCACCTTACTTCTCAACCAGAAGAACACAAATATTAATGCAGTCGCAAAATAAAATATATTTCCCTACCTTGGCAGTCAGTCAATTGACGGAAGTGAAACAACTGCGTATAAAAAAAGTTATTCTCTTGTTTTATGAAGTTTCAAACAAATAACAAATAATGCTGTTCCAAGTCTCTCAATCCCTCCCCTGGTTTCGCCTCTGATCCGCGAGATTTTTTTTCTTCAGGAGCTTCAAAAGTCAAACATTACAGTGAAATCGATTTCTGAAAATCTTGTTGACTTGATATGGACTGAGGGTAGACCAGCTTTGAGCAACGCTACGATCTACCCGCTGGAAATGAAATTCACAGGTTAGTGAATTCTTGAACAATTGTCTTATCAGTCGATTACTCAGAGTCGAGTTTGTTTTTCGTTTACTTGAGGTTTCAAAGCATTTTCCGACACTCTGAAAAACAAAATCACTGCCCAACGGTATTGCGCATGAACAGACCATTATTTGCTGGTAGTTATGCAGATCACGTGGTTGGGTCTCGGATGACCAATGAAAGGGGGAAAAATTCATCGGTTTATAATGATGATTGTCACTTGACATAGTCAAGATCATTTAGATCAGAAATGTGTAACAAACAAACTACCTCTTGTCTAGCCCTAACGCTAAACAAGGGTCCTCGCTTCTTCAACATTTCAGTGGCAAAGTTCTAAAGCATAAACTGGTACAAGACGAGGCGACTCAATTAACAGTGTTTGTCTAACAAATCACAATTGATCCGCACCTCATTTCTTCATTTAGTTTATTTGTTTTATGTTTTACAATTGTTGGTTAGGAAAGGCATGGTCTGACAAAATAAAAGATCTTCGAAACGAGATGACTGCAAATGATGCGACGGCGGTTATTGTGTACCAGCTTGATGAGGTTGCCTGTAAGTAAACTTTACTGTTTTCGAAGATTATATGTGATAAAAGTCTGGACCTATGCCCCTTACAAACATAAAACGTCAAAGAACGCCAAGTTTAGTTAAGCCTAGTAAAGCTTTTTTTAAGTCATGTAAAAGTAATAGTATACTTGCCAATTTACAGGGCTGTTGAACTTGAGAGGGGCGGACGTGCCTTCAAGCCCTTTCTTTTTCGCTTTCGTTATCGTTACTCCAAGCCACATCAAGTAAGTACAAATGTTAGTGACAGAAAAATCGCATTACGATCTTCTCTACATTCTTAAACCAAAGGAGTTACTGATTAATTTAGGTTTGCTCCAGTTTAAAACTGTTCAGTAAGTTCTCAGTAGGTTATTGCTTTCTGATTGGCTCACAGATCCGGGTTAACAGCGATTCACCGAGTTTTTATCTAATATGAAAAGTGCCTGGATGTTGTTCGTAGCGACAAAATAATTGTAACTTGAACGATTGGTTAAGATCGCACCGCTACCCTACATGTAAAGCGCATTTGCTATTAAGCGTATTTACTTGCCCATCATATTCAAACGATTCACAAAGTTTAGAACAGAAGATTTAATTTCATTGAAAATGTCTGTTAATGTACATCAAAAACGACAGAGTAATGAGCACAAAAAGGAAAACAGTAATTACTTTGATTCACAGGGAGACCCGAAACCGAAACAATTTTTAGGCCTCTTACTAGTTTCTGTACATTTCTGATTTGCATAATTTTAGTTTTTCCAATCGCGCGGGAGATTTCAGGGACGAAAATCGACTGCTCGTACTCTATTCTAGCGGCAAAGTTTTCAAACCAGCTCAACCGATAAATTTCTGAAACGATAAGCTGCAAGAACACTATGCACCGATAGATGCATACATTTGTCTGTAATTGTTTTTTTTTCCCGCGAACAGCGTCTACCCAGCTAAATTTACAGACAAATGCATGGAAAGTGAAAAAAGATGGTGAATTTTACGCTCGGTAATGAAATGTGAAAAGTGAACTGATGAACATGACACGAGCGTGGGACAAAGAAAAAATCTGACTCCCCGACAGGGATATGTGACTTCGACAGTGCTGATCCTAGCAGTATGCAGGATGCCTGTCACAAATGAACTCAGTTAAATGACGTTGCTATCAAAGTGTTCTCGTAGCTCAGTGGATAGAGCGCCCACGGTGTTCGGGAGGTCATGGGTTCGATTCCTGTCGGGGACTCAGATTTTGTCTTTGTCCCACGCACATTTCATGTTGATCAATTCACTTTTCACAATGTATGGAAAATTAGAAAAATTGACTGAGCGTTTTCTAGTTAGGATGCATTCTTCAAACTTGGTGAATAAAATTGTCTACCTGGTATTTTAACGTTGCGATTCACAAAGTGTGTAAAATTCAATTTTGGAAAAAGTTATTTGCCATCGGATTCCAGAGAAACACTGTAATTTCTGACCGCTCAAGATGACGTCGCCTCGTATACCGTGATAAAGCCATTCGCATTTCACTCGCATGTTCTGTATGTTTTGTTATTAACTTACATCCAACTCGACCGCATGGAATAATTGTCAGATGAACCATTTGAAGGAGGTTAAGGAAGACGGATTTGTAAAGCTTGTCATTTAAAATTGTCTTTCTGTAATTCAACTTTATGGTTATGCAAATATAAGGTAACCCGAGAAAAACGCTATAATATTGACGCTTTTTTTCTGATCAGGGTTTACATTGAAGAAGAGAGGTTAACTCCCGCAGCAAAGACGCAATTAAATGTTGCTACACTACAACCTTACAACATGTCCATTTTTCTGGGGGACATAAAAACCGAAGCAGCTAAAAGTGATGCGAAAATTTGGGTAAGCTTGTATTCTTTATACAATTTTTACTAAAAGTTTCAGAGTCGGTGGCATGATAAAGCAAAGTGCACGTTTGATGAAGCTCTGTATCGAATTTGATTACGTTAAACTAACATGAGTTCAAATTCCAAATATTTGCTTCCGATCATGAGAAAGTCCCTTCAACCACGTTTCATTTTATATTCAATGCTTTCTTTAAGGGTGGTTTCTATGTAGATTCATTCAAAACTCAGTCTCGCTGAGAGCACATAATAGCGAGGCGTGCGGTGACTGAATGGAAAGAAGTCAAAGGAAGATCCATCGGAAAGACGAGCTCATATGGCCTGCTCACATACTCACATGTTCGCCACATGTCTTATCACATGTCTTAGCTACTGTTCTGCAATATTCACTTTGCCTCATGCTTCCTGTTTGTTTGTCTCTAACACCAGAGTTCTTTGACAAATTTCTAAATACGTCTTCACATACTAACGTGTGTGTGATGGCAGCCCATGGCGCATTTCACGATGTTGTAGACTTATCTCTCCTCCTTTGTAACTAATAGCATTAGGATCTTAAACACTTTTCTTTGTGTAACTTTTCTTGTATTTTTTTATCTTCAGCTAAGTCCTTTATCCGGTTACGCCATGAAAGAAGCAATTCCTCAGGTTGGTTATGAGAGTCAGTCAATGAACTTCCTTATAAATGATCTTTCTCATTGATCTGAATTTTAATAGAGATTCATGGAACAACAGGTCCGGCCCTTTACCGAACCCACCTTTTCACCTACAAGAAGTACGTAGACGAGGAAAAGAAAGTTCGGTTTGTTTTTAGTCTGCCAATAGGCAGAATGCGTGATTTCGCGAGATGCTCAAAATCCATCCCCAAGCCACGTAGAACGATACTCTTTTCAGTCTTTTGGTACCTTTCATGCTATTTTTTTATTATTTTTTCTTAATAGGCGATTTGCATGATGGTGTCATTTGACTACAACTACCAGAATCCTTCACTTCTCCTCTTTCTTATGCTAATTAACGCAATAGTTATTCCCACTGGTGCTTTAAAATTTGAATAATAAAGAAAAAAACTGAATTCTGGTATTTGTAGTCAAATGACGCTGTCGTGCAAATCTACTATTGAAGCTACAAGCTTGCAGTTTCTAAGTAAGGTCTGGTGACGAAATAAGCTAGTCCGACGTCAACATACTCTAGAATTTTGAAAACATAAAAATACATTTATACAAGAGTCTATTTAGCTTGTCTTCATTTAGTACTCTCCGTCGAGTTCCAAAACAAAATAATCAACACAGCTCTAAAACCCGAGTAAACAGTTAGTGAATTCTTTTAACAGCATCTCGCTAAATCTTTGCAGCAGCTTCATTGTTGATTTTCTTCAGTGTCAGCTTTTAAAATTAAATTTCTTACAAACAGGACAATTTATTGCTGATGGACTCGCCCATAGCACTGCCGAAATCTATTAAAAATCCCACAGAGATTGAAGGAATGAAGAATGCTTATGTAAGTAACATGACAAGCAACGGTTCTTCTTAATTGTACCTTTATATTTTCGGTATGGTATTAATGTGGCAACAGTCATTTGCATAAAGTCATGTCGATTCGATATTTTGACCGCTGTTCTTTCGTCTCAACCTCTAGTTCATGAACTTGCTAACTAGCTAAATATCAAGTATTCCACTTGCTGTCGGACACCTTTTAAATGAAAACTTTGTTGCTAGTCTACTGTGAGCAATGGTTTGTTTCGTTTAATAACCACACTCACCAACACACATAGAGGCGACAAACAAACAAACCAGCCAACCAACCTAACTAATTGCAACGAACCAGCAAAACAACTATCGAAGCAACCCTCATTGCAGAACTGATACAAAGAGCTACAAAGGGCATAAAATTATAATATAAAATGACAATATTTCGGCTAGCCAGACCAGCCTTCTTTGGTTTAAATGCCGCTGATTAACGGCAGCCATTTTGAAAACATTACGTTTATCTCACTTGATTTTAATTTTAACTTCCGTGACGTGGCAGAGGCATTCGACGGGAGAAAGATACTTACCATTTCCATGTGTTTTGCTACAGCTCAAGGACAATACAGCGATGCTGGAGTTTTTTTACTGGCTTAAAAATGAGGTATGTGTTAAATTTACGACTTACATGTAGCTCTGGTACGATTTAGTCGCAACATATTCGCAAGATACGAAAGCGTGATCAAATCAAATAATGAATTGAATAAAACTTCACCTGTTTGTTTTCCATTCAAAGTGCACAAAAAACGACGAACGTTGCAGTCCCATGTTAAGCTATAGCACTGGAAATGCCACACTTCGTTAACCAATCAGAACGCGAGAAGTCTCTCAGCTCTGCGTCCTTTTCTTGACTTGTGTTGTAGAAATTCCAAGAAAATCGAGAAAGAGAAAACCTCAACCTCCACTGAACTCACAATAGTGTTTCCCTTTGACCAACATAAATATACTTAGCATTGCAATGAGGCTATTTAGTGACGTTCTAAGTCTTTTTTAAACGAAAAGTAACTTTTCTTTCCTTACCTGAAGGTCTCTAAAGGAAGTAAGGACCTAACAGAAATGTCTGCAGTAAAGAAACTGGAAGAATTTAAAAGGTAAATGACCTTTACGTTTGTGTCAAAACTATCTTTATTGAAGAAAATAAAGATGCTTTAATATCGACACGAACGCCCCTTAATCTCCAATGTAATGTTCTCAAAAATATGTACAGACCGAAAGCTCGAGATTGATATTAACATGATATTTAACATAACATTAACATGATATTTGCTTTGTATTCAATTTCATATTTTTGTTATTTGTAGTAAACAAGTTGACTACATGGGTCATAGTTTTGATACCATCGCAGGTTTTGGTCCCAATGGAGCTATTATTCATTACAGGTACTGAAAGCTGAGAAATTCAGTGTACTCATCAAGCTGTTGTAAATATAATTCCTTTTCTGAACAGAGACTCGCGGAAAATAAGTGACGTATTATACATATATTTACGGTACCTGATATAACGAGATGTAGTCATAGGAAATCAAAGGTGGGTACCAACACGGTACTACATGCGTAGATTTACGGCCGATTCAGTCTGGGTGCGCCCTCTTGCTGGGTATGGTATAAATACCTGAGTAATCCTACCTCTTTGTTACAAGTCTGGTTCGGTAACATATCAGACTCGTTTGGTCTCGCCATACATGGGTAATTGGCTTGACTGCGTCTTGCCGAAATATGAACCATGGCTATACAAGTACTATACAAGTTAGAAGTAAGACAGTAGGACCTCAGAAAAATGGAAAGTTGAGAATAGGAAGGGTCAAATGCATGGTAATGTAGGGGGTGAAAAGGCTTTGTTTCATCTCGCAGGCCAGAAGAAAGCACAAACTTACAGATTACCGATCAAAGTACCTTCCTCGTTGACAGTGGATCCCAGTTGAAGTGAGAGCTAATTATTCCATATCTCTTAACACAAGCATAAGTTGTTCCAAGTTATCCATAGCTTGCTCAAACCAAGCGAACCATTAAAATTTTCATGTGTCGAATGGGATATTTCGTGATATACAAATAAAACTAAGAATAAGTTCTTAATTCTGAAGACAAATTTGAAAAATGGACAAAACTTTGATCTGATTCATACGGCCATGAACAACTTAACATACATGTCCTTCGAGTCTCCTCCGCTTGCTGTCTTCCAGTCACGTCAAGGAAGGAAGATGGGGTTAGGATGGACTGAGTTGGATCATGATTGATGTAAATTTGAGAGGGAACCCAGATAAACTTGAAAACATGTTGTAAACATTAAAGGCCTAAAGCGTCTCCTCTAAATAAAGCTCACGAGCTGCTCCTTTGATCAAAGCTGCGGACAATTTAACAACTGCGCAATGAACCAGCGATAAAACTTGGAGAAAATCACTCGTCTTCTCCTGCTGTTAATGCGATGTCAACGTCACGATAGATAGTCGTTAGTTATAGTAGCTTTTCAATGACTTTTTCTGTTAATTTTGATTTACCCTGTGTAGAGATGGAACAACAGATACAACTCGTACAGTCCACTTTGGAACACCAACAGCCCAAGAAAAGGTGAACTTACTTTTGACATGTCAATAGACCAATTTCGATATATTAAAATTCAGCCTAAAACAATAGGCCTCAGCACGAGGCTCTGGGGAATATCTACAGAGTTTGGGGGGTTTATTCCCCAGAGCCTCGTGCTGAGATCTATTGTCTTAGGCTGAATTTTAATACATCGAAATTGGTCTATTCAAGAGCCATTGTGTTTCGACATACAAAAAAAAATGCTATATTAATTTCCCGGCCCGTATTATTTACAGTAATGAGCCGCTCTTTGTTGCTTCACAGGATGCCTACACCCGTGTTTTGAAGGGTCAGATCGCACTAGCACTGACTATATTTCCAAACAATACGCAAGGTAAAATATGTATATCAGATTAACGCTTTTCAGACTGAACGGAGGAGGGACGGTGAAAAGTGCCTTTGCTGAATTTGACCGTCTACAACTTCTTCAATATTTAATAAGTCAACGCTGTTAATTAAACGTTGCGACTTTATATAATTATCTGGAATTTATCTGGCAACAAGATAAATTCCTGGTAAGACTACCACAAGCCATAAGGTACTTGGAGTGTTCATTGACTCGGACCTTTCTTTTAACGAGCATGTCGAACGTTTATGTAAGAAACTTGCTAAGCGTATAGGCGTCCTGAGATCAATTAGGCATTACCTACCTTTCAATGAGCGCATACTTCTCTGTAATGCAACTATTATGCCTTTGGTTCTATACGGCGGAGCAGTCTGGAGTATGACATCCAAAGCAAACGTATTAGACGAGTTTTTCGATAACAAAAGAGAGCTGTCTGGGCCATGCTAGATGTTAACTACATGTTAAGAACGAACAGTTCAGTAGTTTATTTAAGAAGCTGAACTGGATGCGTTTCTGTGATGAAATTAATGTTAGCAAACTGTGTCTTATCTTTAAATGTTTAAACGGGTAAATGCCCAGAATATCTATGCAATAAGTTAGTTCTTGTAAGTGACACATCAGTCGATCCTCGGGTTATGGTCACATAATACTACGCAGCCCCATGTACAACAGGAAAACAGAAGGGGGTAAAACCTTTTTAACATCATAAATTGTATTATGGAATTCCCTACCTGTAGAAATAAGATCCAGCGAAAGTATTAACTCTCAGTTTTAAACGCAAATATATCGAGTACGTAAAGAAGGGGTACGCTAATATTGACCATTTTACAATTTCGTAATATTTTAACTTTTATATTTTAAATTAATATTTTAACACTTATAGTTAGAAATTTTTAGGAATTATTAAATCATTGTAATTATGTATATACATTTATATATATTTTTGTAACTTTTTATTGTAACTTTTTAAATATTGTAATTTTTTATTGTTCATACTTTGTACTATACTTAGTTATTATATAATTGCTCGTAGATTTTTAGCACAGAGGGCCACTAGTTTATCAGTTTATACTTTCATGTGTCACCCTCTCTAAATAAAGTTGATTGATTGATTGATTGATTGATTGATTGATCTGGTATGATGGTTCATTGTTCTGCAGTGTGTCGCTTGAAGATTGAATCGTTTGATCATCAACACATTGCTGGACATACATATTTTTTCCTTGAAGGTTAAAACCTTCAAGTAGAAGAGAGGAAAAAATATTCCAATATTCAGGGAAATTTTAATTTCCCTGAATATTTTCCTGTATGGTTGTACGTATTTGTAATTTGTATTTTATGTATTTGTAAGTATGGTTTTGCAGCTTCTGCTAAAATTGCACCAGCTTCAGACCAAAACTCCGATGCTTGCGCTAATTCCGCCGAGAAAGAACCCTTCACATGTTGCCGACCTGCATATTGCTGCTCAAGTTTTGTAACTCTTTCCTAAACAAGTCTTCTTTACAAAGAGACTAATGTTTCTAATTTTAATGAGCTATATTTATGTATGTCTCACCCTGCCTCAGCATTTCTTTTCTCGTCAGAGACAAAGTAGACAATATAGAACTTCAAAGCGAGTGTCATTCTTTCTTCCCCTCTCTCTTATCGTCCTTTTGTAGTCTTCTACCTTTCTGCTTTTTCTTTCGCTGTTGCTGTTTTTTTTTTTTTTTTTT